TACTACTACTACTACTACTACTGCCCAAGCGTGACCTGACTCCGAAAGAAACTCCCTGCAAATCATTACCCTACGGCTCAACATAGCCCAGAAGCCTTGTACAGCGTGGTCTTTGGGCCCAAAACCCTTCAAACATGAGTCCTTAGAGCCTTAGGGTTACACATCCACCCTAAACCCTAAACCCTAAACCGCAAATTAAGCCCTAAGGTCTGTTCCTCGCGGTTTGGGTTTCAGAACATACGGGAGTACCTTGCAGGATCTCCTTTTTGGGTCTAGGGTTTAGGGTTTGGGGTTTGGGACTTTGGGTTTAGGGTTTGAGGGTTGAGGGTTTAGGGTTCGATCCCCAACTGACGTAATATAGGGGCCCTGATAATGATTGCATGTATGTTTTTTTTTTTTGGGGGGGGGGTCCTTATTATAACTGTAGCAGCACCCAATTCTAATTAATAAGGCACCTATAGTATAAAGACTATTCTTTTTCTGGTTTTCGGGACCTACTTCCATAATTATAGTAGAAATGTGCCTTTTAGGCAATTGGAAATGCAGGATTCTGTGACTCTGTCTTGTCAGTAATATGGGTGGTTGTCTTTTTGTGTGTACCTGCTTGTGTCTTGGATTTGATTTCGGCGGCATTACCTGAAATGACTGTAGACGAAATATCCGATGTGCGTTCGTAATCTACGCTTTTAGTTGTGTTACCTCCATTGCGGGGGTGGGTGCGCATGACTCTACTTGACTCTACTTATAAAACTACACCTCAAGTAGCCACAGCAACCCCTGTAGGTCCCTTGAACAGGAACCTTAGGTTTATGGTTTTGGGTTTAGGGTTTAGGGTTTAGGGTTACCTTAGAATGACCCTAGAGTACCTCAGAGGTATCCCTATAGATCCGTGTAAGAAAACGTCATGATGTTTCTAGTGTGTCCTGCAAGCAGGTTCTGTGTGCCGCCCTGCGAAACCTCTGGCTTGCCAGGTCTAAAACCTGCACCCTTAACAGCTTAATCCTAACCGCTTAAACCGGAAGCCCTGAAATATTAAACCCAATCCCTTAAACCCTAGACCCTAAGCCCTGAAACCCTTAACCCTACCTCTTAAACCCTAAACCCGAGCCCTTAAACTTTGAACGACTTCTAAAGAACCCTAAACCCCGAACCTCGAAACCCATGGTTTTCTGCACGCTACACCCTTAAACCTTACTTGAAGGATCATGCGACCTAGTACTTAGTAAGTAAGGCTGCGTGGCCCTTATTGGGTTTTTGAGTAACTAAAACTGCACTTACCTTATCACCGTAGTTGCTAGGTCCCATCATCCGCCAAGTAAACCCGAAACCCTCAACCCTCAAAAACCCGAAGCCCCCAAACACTAATCCCTAAACCCCCAAACCCTAATCCCCAAACCCCTAAAGCCCAAACCCTCATCCCCTAAACCCGCCTAAACCGTAAACCCTAAACCCTCAACCCCCAAACCCTCAACCCCTAAACCCCAAACCCTCAACCCCTAAACCCTAAACCCCAAACCCTCAACCCCATAACCCCTAAAACCCCAAACCCCTCAACCCTAAACCCCAAACCCTCCTA